GGGCACACACGAGGAGGGGGTGGGGTGGGGGATGGGCAGAGGGAGAGGGAGAAGCAGACTCCTTGCTGAGCAGGGCACCCTATGTGGAGCTTGATCCCAGGACTCTGGGATCATGGACTGAGCTGAAGGCAGATGCTTAACTGACTGAGCCACCCAGGCGCCCCAGTACTACATTTCTTTTTACTAATGAACAATATTCCATTGTGTTGGAGAGACCACATTTTGTTTATCCTTTCATCTGTTGATGGACATTTGGGTTGTTTCCACTTTGATTTTATGAATAATGCTGTTATGAACATTCACATATAAGTTTTTGTGTGGACATGTTTTCATTTCTTTTGAGTGTATACCCAGAAGTGGAATTAATGGGTCATATGGTAACTCCGCATTTAACACTAGGAGGAGTTGCCAGGCTATTTTCCAGAGGGTCTGCACCATTTTAAAATCCCGGCAGGAATGTTTAAGGGCTCCCGTTTCTCCACATCCTTGCCACTACCTGTTATTTTCCATCTCTTTGATTATAGCCGTTCTGGTGGTATGAAATAGCAACTCACTATAGTGCTGATTTACACTTCCCTATTGACCAATAATGTAAAATATCTTTCCATAAATAGCTTTGAGGTCATTTGGACAACTTCTTTGGAGAAATGTCATTCAGGTTCTTTGCTTGTTTTTTGTTTTCTTTTTTTAAAGATTTTATTTATTTATTTATTTATTTATTCATGAGCGACACAGAGAGAGAGAGGCAGAGACATAGGCAGAGGAAGAAGCAGACTCCATGCACGGACCCCGACGTGGGACTCGATTCCGGGACCCCAGGATCACACCCTGGGCCAAAGGCAGGTGCCAAACCACTGAGCCACCCAGGTGTCCCTCTTTGCTTGTTTTTTAATTGAGTGGCGAGAGTTCTTTATAGGGGAGCCTCTCCCTGGAAGAGGGAGGGGGAGGGGAGAAGCAGACTCCCCACTGAGCAGGAGCCTGATGCATAAATATGGTACATTTTTCACCTGGAGAAGAAAAACATAGAGAAGCCATGAGTATTTGGTTCAAATTTTATTTATCATCTGTCTCTGCCAGTAGAATGTTAACCTACGTGTTTTGTGTGCCTAAAACAGCGCCTGGCTCATAGAAAGGGTGAAAAGAACCATGACATCTCAGATCTGCTGTCTCCTGTGAGGCCCACTAGGACCCAATTCCCAACACTTCTTTTTTTTAAAATTGTGGTAAAATACACATAACATAAAATTTACAATTTGAATAATTTTTTAAAGACTATTTATTTATGAGAAACACAGAGAGTGAGAGACAGAGACAGAGACACAGGCAGAGGGAAAAGCAAGCTCCATGCAGGGAGCCCTATGTAGGACTCGATCCCCGTGTCTCCAGGATCACACCCTGGGCTGAAGGCGGCGCTAAACTACTGAGCCACTGGGGCTGCCCCAATTTGAACACTTTTTTTAAAAATATTTTAAGTACAATCTATTCCCTCCAATGTGAGGCTCAGACTCACGACCCCAAGATCAAGAGTTGCATGCTCCACCAAGGGAGCCAGCCAGGTGTCCCCCCTTTGAACCATTTTTAAGTGTACAGTTCAGTAGTGTTAAAAATATATTCATATTGTCATGCAACTGTTCTTCAGAAGTCTTTTATCTTGCATGACCAAAATTTTACACCCACTAAATAACAGTACCACATGTCCCCCTTCTCCTAGCCCCTGAGAATCACCATTCTACCTTGTATCTCTATGAATCTGACTTTTCTAGATATGTCATATAAGTTGAATCACACAGTCCCTTACTGTCTTACTGTCCCTGTCTTACTTAACACAGTGTCTTCAAGGTTCATTCAGGTTGTAGCAAATTTTCTATAGCCACAATTTTCCTCCTTTTTAGGCTGAATACTACTCCACTGTATGTACATACTGCATTTGCTTATCCTTCCATCCACCGATGGACACGTGGGTGGCTTCCATCTTTTAGCTACTGTGAATCATGCTGCTATGAACATGGGTGTACAAATACTTCTTTGAGACCCTGCTTTCATTTCTTTGGGGTATATACCTACAGGTGAGATTGCTAGATCAGATGGTAAGTCTATTTTTGATTTTTGAGGAATTGCCATATTGTTTTCAGCAGTGGCTGTACCATTTTACATTCCCACCGACAGTACACAGCACTTCCCGGCACTTTGATGCCTCTCCACACCCTAGTCCAATGACCCCAAGAGCCAACTCCACTGCACCCATGCCTACAAGGTGGTAAGTGGTGAAGGGCTGGAGGAGGACTAGGGATCTGCAATATTCTTTATGTTCTAGCAAGTGGGAGGAAAGAGGGGTGAGCCTTCCTCCCTGAGGACATGAGGGTGGCCTTCTTCATTCTCTCGCACCTCTGCTTTTCAGTCACACACTCAGATTCCTGTCCAAGCCCCTTCAGGGGTAGTCTGGGGGCCAGGGACAGAGCAGTGGAGCTCACTTGGGTTGGCACATCTCAAGAGACAGGAAAGAAACACACGCTCCTCTGGGGAGGAGGGTTGAGATTGGGGCACCTGTCCCAGTGGCCCCCAACCCATTATGAAACTCCAAAATTTTTAGTTGGCTTTTGCCATCACTGATTGACTGGATATATGCCCTGTGATTTCACTACACTGTGAAGTGAATTTGTATTTTATTCACCAAAAATTGCATCTACATACATTAATTTACTTTTATTTTTAACAGATTTGTATTTAATTTACTTGACAGTAAGAGCAAGAGAGCACAAGCTGGTGGGGGTGGGGTGGGGGGAGCAAAAGGAGAGGGAGAAGCAGGCTCCCCGCTGAGCAAGGAGCCCAGGATCCTGACCTGAGCTAAAGGGAGGTGCTCAGCCAACTGAGCCACCCAGGCTCCCTGTATCTACATACATTTAAAAAGCAGTGGGACAAATGTGGGCAAGATAGACTGTGGACACAGTCTATAGACAACATGAGGCCAGGCAGCGTTGGAACCTGCAAGCCCCTGGTGAGAACCTCAGGGCCTTATTCTAGCACCTGGAGGTCAGCGCTGCCCAAATGGGACTGACACCCTCCATCACTGGAGCTATGAGGAAGAGCAGGCTCAGGGTTAGAGAGGCTACAGAGTTCATATTTATAGCATGTTCTACATCTTTTTTTAAAGATTTATTTATTATTATTTATTTATTTATTTATTTATTCATGAGAGACACGCAGAGAGAGGCAGGCAGAGACACAGGCAGAGGGAGAAGCAGGCTCCATGCAGGGAGCCCTACATGGGACTCGATCCCGGGTCTCCAGGATCAGGCCCTGGGCCGAAGGTGGCGCTAAACCACTGAGCCACCTGGGCTGCCCATGTTCTACATCTTTAATGCACTTCGCATACCACCAATCCTAACAAGTAGGTACTATCACTATTATGCCCATTTACAGATAAGGCCACAGGCACAGAAGCAGCTTGAATTGGGAGTAGAGAGATTTGCAGCCTCGAATCGTTTTGCCACTGACCCTTGTGTCTTCATCTTAGAACTCAGGGGGGGAGACTGAAGACATCAAGTGTCATTCTCAGAGGCTGAGCTCAGCTGCCACTTGCTGCTTGTTCCAGCCCCATCACTGCTTCCCGGGTTCAAGCCTGGGGTGGGGGTGGGGACAAGAGGCAGAATAGAGCCACCTTGCAGGTCACTGGGCAAATGCTTAACTGCTCTCTGGGGCAAGGCCAAGTCTGGAAAGAGAACGTTAAGAAGAAATTTCCATAGCCCTTCCCTCTGCCAGGGATTTTCCACTGTGCCTGGGCAGGCATGCCTCTCGGCTTCCCCCATGAGGGGATCTGGCAATCCATAGGTCTCACTGAGAGGCTCAGCCGGTGCTAGGAGGTGGGTAAGAGCTGGTTCTGGTTCCCGCCCTAAGAAAGGGGCAAGTTTGTTGGGGAGGCACGACCACCCTGGAAAGATGAAGAGAGAGAGGGTGGGACCCAGGATGGTGTAGAATGAGATGGTCAGTCTAGAAGAACCACAGACAGAGCGGAGGTGTGGTGGGGAGCCTGGAGAGCCATCAGGGGAAACCTCCCAGCACCTCCCTCCTTTGCTGCTGGCTGGAGCAGCAAAGGAGGGAGGAGGCTCTCACAGGGAGACAGGGGAGATGAGCAGGGGAGTGATGTGGGCCTTACGACTGCCATGAACACAGGGACAGTGTTGGAGCCAGGAGGGAGCCGAGGCAAGAAATGGAAAATTTGGTGAAGCAGACGGCACAGTTCCAGAAGTGGACAGCCACCGCCTGCGCTGGTGCTGCCGCCCTTGCGTGTAAGCTGTTCACCCTACAGGACACCCTCTCCTCAGTTCCACTGGATTGGCTCCTTGCCAGCCAGGTTTAGCTCAAACAGGCCCCACTCCCCAGGGAAGCCTTCCCCGGCCACTCCTGCAGAAGCAGCTGGAGGCCCTCTCCCTCAGCGCCATGTACCACCTGCCCTTAGCCGGCTTCTTTCAGGAGCAGCCTCCCTCCTAGGCGATGGGTTCAGGAGAGCCCTTGGCTTGCTCACTCCTTGGAAGCCCCAGAGCCAGGCCCCCTAGATATTGGTGAGTTTAGTTCAACTGCACTTGGAGTTTTATGATAAAAGGAAGCCTATAATGTTGCTCTTTCCCCCCACTCCTGAGCACTACTATACACCAGGCACTGCGCTAAGTGCTTTACAAACATTTTCTCCTTTATTCCTCTGCACAACTCTGAGGGAGGTGCTACTATTATCCCTGTCTTATAGGTGGGTGAGGAACTGAGACCCGGAGAGTCTGGTTATGTTGCTCAAGGACACACAGAGCCAGGATTTGAACCCACGCATTTAACCTCCAGACTAGCACCATCTGATAGAAATAGAATATGAGTCATATACATAACCGAAAAACTGTCTAGTAGCTACGTTACAAAAATAGTCAGGTGAAATCAATTTTATTTTATTTTATTTTTTTAATTTTATTTATTTATTCATGAGAGACAGAGAGACAGAGAGAGAGAGGCAGAGACACAGGCAGAGGGAGAAGCAGGCTCCATGCAGAGAGGGGACTCGATCCAGGGACTCCAGGATCATGCCCTGGGCTTCAGGTGGCGCTAAACCACTGCGCCACAGGGGCTGCCCTGAAATCAATTTTAATAATATATTTTATTTAATACGATATACAAAAAACTAGCATTTTGACATGTAATCAATGTAAAAAATATTAATGAGATATTTTTACATTTTTCTATTACTAAGCATTCAAAACCTAGTTTATACTTATGGTACTTGCAAAATTTTCATCAGAAAATGACCTATATTTAGATTCCATAAAATTTGCCATTGTAAAAGTAGATTTCACGCCCAAGGTGTTCCACGCATATTTAAATGTTTTTCAATAACTACATTATCAATTTTTTCTAAAGATTTTATTTATTTATTCATGACACAGAGACAGAGAGAGAGAGAGAGAGAGAGAGAGAGAGAGAGGGGCAGAGACAGGCAGAGGGAGAAGCAGGCTCCATGCAGGGAGCCCGACAAAGGACTCCATCCCGGGTCTCCAGAATCACAACCTGGCCCAAAGGTGGTGCTAAACTTCTGAGCCGCCCGGGCTGCCCTACATTTTCAATTTTTAAAAACATTTTATTTTTAAGTAAACTCTACTCCCACTGTGGGCTCAAACTTACAAACCTGAGATCAAGAGTCGCATGCTCTACCAACTGAGGCAGCCAGGCATCCCCGCTACATTATCAATTTTAAAATTTAAATGTAATTTGATTAGAATTAAATAAAATTTAAAATTCAGTTCGTCAGCAGCACTAATCACATTTCAAGTGCTCAACAACCACAGGGGGCTAGTGGTTAGTTAGCACAGCTCTGGGCCTTACCCCTTGTGAAGGTAGGATAGGTAAGGGAGGCCCAGTGGGAGGGATGCAGAGCCAACTGGGGACAAGCGGTGGGTGGGAAAGAGGGGGACAGCTGCCATGGCGGGCTTGGGCCCATATAAAATGAGGAGGGATGACTTGGTGGCCATGACTGCCACCAAGCGTCATAGACCTGGCCCACTCATAAGGGGAGCACCTGCTATGGGTGTTCTATAGGTCTGGGCTTTGCCCCATCGAGGAAGTGGTGGCCGTCAGATTCCCGGGTTGAGCAAATGCTGGCCCCTCTCAGAGCTTCTATCCCCTCAGAACCACCAGAAAAGGATCCTGGGGGTGCATGAGGCAGGATCTGAGCAGGCTCAAGCTTGGCAGGTGGAATGACCCCCATCTTCCCTCTCTACCCGTGAACAGGTGGCATGGGGGTCAGGAGTATGTGGCCTTGGTTAAACAACTCAGACATCTAGTATACCTCGGTTCCAATCCCACTTCAGCCAATCCCTTGCTGTGTGACCTCAGACAAGACAAGTCCCCTCTCTGAGTTTCAATTTTCTCATCTGGAAAATAAAAACCAACAATGGAATGTCATGAGACTCTAAAGATGTCTACAGAGTACGTAGCTCATAGTAAACGATCAATTAACATTAGCTGTTCTTCCTAGATAATAGCCTTTTCCTGGGACAGACAGGGAGAACATGGGTGATCACTGGAAAGGAGACATCTGGAGTGGGCTGTAGAAGGAGGACGTTAATCCCGGGTGGATGAGGGTTTCCTCCTCAGGGCTCCTCCACTTCCTGGGCATGACACCTACTGGCTTAACCTTCAGGAGTGAGGAGGAGGATCCTCCTCCCAGAGGCATCCGGTGCCCAAGCATGAGGTCAGAACAGCCAAGAGCCACCTTCTAGAAATGAGGAGGGTGAGTCAAACTGAATCAGGAGCAGGTGAGGGCACCTGGGTTTCTGGAATTACTCAGAATGACACTAGACACCAGGTACATGCCTGGTAGGAGTGATAGATGAACTGGACTCCAGGAAAGCAGGTGGGGCTGGAAACCACCCCAGACAAGGAAACAGTTGGGGTGGAAACTCCAGGCAGGCAGTGCGTGGCCTGAGAGGTGTCTGGGTATTTTTGGGTGGGGCAGCTCCAACTCCTCCTCCCAGTTAGCACCCTACTGAACCAAGACTACGATCAGCCATCAAAATCTTTGCTCTTTGGGTCCTCCCAAATGTGGAAGCTGAGACAGACCCAAGGGGACCTCTGTCCTTTACCCTCCCAAAAGTCTTCCAGCTCTTGTCACTTTGTCCTGCCAACATTTCCAGTATTTCCTCTCATCTGTCACCCCCACCGAAATTGACTCTCTTAGAGGTAGGACAAACTTACCTTCCTCACTGCCATATCTCTTGGACGTAGCTCAGACTCCGGCATGCAGTTGAGTGCTTAGTAGACACTTGTGGGGCAACAGATTCAAAACTGGATGGTTTCTCATTACATTTCTAACACTCATTAGGTGGCTGTGGGTCAGCCTCTCTGAGCCTCGTTTCCATCTCCGTAAAATGGGAAATACAATCCCTGTGAAGAACCTGGAAGGACCAAGTCAGGAAGCAGGGCACTTCCCTATCCAGCTGGATCTAGGAAGATTCTTATAGGTAGTTCTTCAGACACAGCCTGTGAGCGGATCAACTTATAGGAGAGGAAACCAAGGCACACAGACGTCATGCTTACAGACTGCCCAGGGAGAGCCGGTGAGGTCTCCTTCGGAACCTCTGGTTAGATCAGTCTCACTCAGTTTTCCTGGGGGTTTTCATTCGGAGCCGCCTATCCTTTCCTTGGGAGATGGCCTTTTCCCACTCAGCTCCTGTGTGGGGTGGGGCCTGGCTCCCGGTGAGAAGGAGTGTGCTGGAGACAACAGGAATGGCTGCCTCTGGTGCTGGCTGTTTGGAGTCAGAGCCACTGCTCTGTGTGTGTGTGTGTGTGTGTGTGTGTGCACTCACTCTAACCATCCACTAGATCTTCACTACACCCCAAGATGGGTGCAGCCCAGTCTAGTGGTGAAATGCTGGGACTCTGGAGTTACTCTGGAGTCATTAAATGAGATAATGCACGTCACTCTTCCTAAGTGTCCATCTCCTACCTGAGAAAGTGGCCCATGGGGCTGATGCATGTCGGCACCTAGCATGGGCCCTGCTTACCATAAACACTCAAGAAATAGCAAGGTTTTTTTTTTTAAGATTTTATTTTTTTAATTTTTATTTATTTATGATAGTCACACACACACACACACACACAGAGAGAGAGAGAGAGAGAGAGAGAGAGAGAGAGAGAGAGGCAGAGACACAGGCAGAGGGAGAAGCAGGCTCCATGCACCGGGAGCCCGACGTGGGATTCGATCCCGGGTCTCCAGGATCGCGCCCTGGGCCAAAGGCAGGCGCTAAACCGCTGCGCCACCCAGGGATCCCTTAAGATTTTATTTATTTACTTGACAGAGAGAGAGAGAGAGAGAGAGAGAGAGAGAGAGCGCAAAGCAGAGGGAGCAGGAGAGGGAGAAGTACGTTCCCCGCTGAGCTGGGAGCCCGATGTGGGGCTTGACCCCAGGACTCTGAGATCATGACCTGAGTCGAAGGCAGATGCTCAACCAAGTGAGCCATTCAGGTGCCCTTGTTTTTTTGTTTTATTTTTGATTTATTTATTTTCAGTGCTCTCTACACCCAGCATGGGGCTGGAACTCACGATCCCGAGATCAAGAGCCACCTGCTCCAACCACTGAGCCAGCCAGGTGCCCCTGTTTATTTGTTTTTTTAGACTATCAACCCTGTGAGAGCACAAGGGACACTTGTTCTGGTCATTGCTTACCCGTAGCTCTCCTGCCTAGTAGGTGTCCAGGTGGCTGAATGAATGAGTGGGAGGAAGGAGGGAAGAAAGAGAAGGAAAGGAGGAGGGAGGGAGAGAGGAGAGGGAGAAGGAGTGGGTTTGTTTTGACAGCTCCCAGCTTCCAGGCCCCCCACACTCTCCCTCTGTTCCCAGGTCACCAGGTCGCTGACCCAAGGCTCTTCTCACTGGGTGCTGTGTGGGGTCAGTCATCTCAGATGGGAATATTGGGTCAAACCCTGGATCTGCAAGCTCATCTATTGACTGAATTTAGCCTCCTCACTGTTCTCCTCTCTCTCTCTCTCTCTCTCTCTCTCTCTTTTTGGAGACAGAGGTGGGGGTTGGGGAGAGGGAGAGGGAGCACCTTAAGCAGGCTCCATGCCCAGTGCCAAGCCTAACGTGGGGCTTGATTTCAGATTCTGACACCATGACCTGAGCCAACGTCAGGAACTGGACGCTTGCCAGCTGAGCCACTTAGGCACCCCTCAGTGTTCTCCTCTAAAAATGAGGCTGCTTATACTAACAGCTTTGCTGAATTATTGGGAAGTCCTAAAGATGTATTAAATATATTTGTAAGCTGAAAAGTGTTAACGATTATCTTGGTAGGGTGCGTGGAGCATGTAGGTTTGGGGACCAGACTTCATGGGTTCAGATCCCTGTTCTGCTTGCAGACTTTGGGCAAGATCATTAACCTCTCTGGGCCTCAGTCTCCTCGCCTGGAAAATGGGGCCACTCAGAGTAGCCACCTCACAGAGGGGTGAGAATTAAATGAGATAACGCATGAGAAGCTCTTGAATCAGTGGAAAGCACCTACTAGGTACTCAATCAACGGTGGCCGTGATGACGAAGCCTGCCCTCAGGAAAATTTCTGTGAACTACTTCTCACTATTGTGTGAATGAGTGATGAGACTTACCATGCTGCCTTTCTCAGGGGAATTTGAATCTTTAGGGGAATTAAAGGAGTGAAATCCTACCTAATGATGGAATTTGTTTTGTTTCTTAAGATTTTTATTATTTACTCATGAGAGACCCAGAGAGAGAGGCAGAGCCGTAGGGAGAGGGAGAAGCAGGCTCTCCGGGGGGAGCCTGATGCGGGACTCGATCCCCGGACCCCAGGATCACAAGCTGAGTCAAAGGCAGATGCTCAACCACTGAGCCCCCAGTTGCCCCTAAAGATGAAATTTTTTTTTATAGTAAAGGAGGTACATGGGGGTAGAAAAGGACCTTCTGAGGGCATCTCAAAATCACCATTGCTACCTATACCGCACGAATTCTGCTTGGTCCTAGAGAGACCACATACAGGAAAAGGGAGAACATTGTCCTAGACCCTGAGGAATCTCCCCTCTGCTTGGAGAAACGGGAAGCAATTAGACCCCAGGACAGTGCATAACTCCAACTAAGGTCTGCCCCAGTGGGGCAGGTAATAGCCCAGGCCCAGCTATCAGAGAGGCTCCTGGGACCCTCCAGGAACAGCAGCAGCCAGGGTGGGAGGTGGGGATAGGTTCTGGATGTGACCTGGGCCCTCTCCCCCCAGGGCAAGGGCCTTCCTTACCTTCCACATCCGGGCTTTCTCTACTGGGCTGGAACCTGCAGGCGAGGTGTAGAGGAATTAGGGTTCTGCAGTCCAACTGCCAAGGCTCAGTCCCTGCCCCAACTCTTCTCAACCACGCCACCTATGACCTGCAAGACACGGGTCGAGTTAGCTGCTAGCACCCATTCCCCCATCTTTTCTGTTCCTCCTTAGGAGAAAGAGTCCTCCCTCCTGCCCTTTCAGCCCCTTGGTACAGGCGAGGCTGCACGTGACCAGGCCGCCAATCAGTGCCATAGCTTCCCTGGTTATGCCTTTTGTGAGGTGGTCACATGACCCTCCGCTAGCCTGTGTAATAGAGTATATCCCGAGACTTGTGTTGCAATTACCAAGACCCTCTTTTTTCTTTCTTTCTTTCTTTTTTTTTTTCTAAGATTTTTATTTATGTATTCATGAGAGAGAGAGGGAGGCAGAGACACAGGCAGAGGGAGAAGCAGGGTCTCTGCGGGGAGCCCAATATAGGACTTGATCCCAGGACCCCAGGATCACACCTGGAGCTGAAGGTAGATGCCCAAACACTGAGCCCCCCAGGTACCCATCCGAGACCCTCTTTTATACAGAACTAGGCCTCGGGATGATATGAACCTGGAGCTGCTCTTTGAAGACCACTCATGGAGCCCAAATGTGGCACCAAAACGGTGAAGACAGAGTGGAGGGATTCAGTCTTTATGACATTTTGGAGTCTCCAGATCAAGTCATGCCTGGATTTTTCAGTTTTCTGAGCCAGCAAATTCTATTTTTAGCATAAACCAGTTTGAGTCAAGTTTTCTGTCATTTGCATCAGAAAGAGTCTGAAATTCACACGGTGAACTTTCTTAACTTCTCTATAAACTTCAGTTTGAACATCTGCAACATGGGAATAACTGCCCACAGTATTTTTCAAGAGAAAAAAAAGGGTTGTTGGCAGCCTGGGTGGTTCAGCGGTTTAGCTCTGCCTTTGGCCCAGGGCCCCGTCCTGGAGACCCGGGATCGAGTCCCACGTCGGGCTCCTGGTGCATGGAGCCTGCTTCTCCCTCTGCCTGTGTCTCTGCCCCTCTCTCTCTCTCTCTGTGTGTGTCTCTCATGAAAGAAAAAAAGAAAGGTTGTTCTGGAATGATTAAAAGGGTTGATCAGGGTTCAACACTTAATATAGAGCCTGACAGGGGCACCTGGGTGGCTTAGTCGGTTAAGCATTTGCCTTAGGCTCAGATCATGATCTTGTGGTGCTGGGATCGAGCCCCACCCCCACCACATCAGGCTCCCTGCTCAGCAGGCAGTCGACTTTTCCCTCTACCTCTGCCCCCTACTCATGCTCTCTCTCTCTCTCAAATAAGTAAAATCTTTAAAAGAAATGTAGAGTCTGACATATGTTAGGCACTCAAAACATATCAACTTTTAGGTGTTCCTTAAGTGTTTGTTACAGATTCTGACTCTGGCCCCCGGGAGTGAACTGCAAGGGCATTTGGGCAAAAGCCTCTCCCTGAGTGTGTGGTCCTCGGAAAGCCTGGTGTTTTGGGGCTGGGATGCCTCTGAGGGGTGAGGGATACTCTGTACGGAGGGCCACCTGACCCATCCAGAGCTCAGCAGCACCAAGAAAGGTTCTAGTGGGTGTGCTGATTACTTTTCCTAATCCTCACACTCTAATCAAGTCCATTTCGCAGATGAGGGAGATGAGGCCCAGGCTAGTGCTACCCGCGGTGCCCATTCGGCAGGCGCGGCCCCTCCCTGGCGCACAGGTGCTGGCGGGTCAGGGTGCTCTCTGCCGGGCCTCAACCCCAATCAGCCTTAGTTCCCTGGGTCTGTTATTGTTAAGCAGCGGCTTCCAGGGGTGATTTTAGGGGGGTTTGAAAGAGCAAGAGGAGTTCCAAACACTCTCTTCCCTCCTTCTGGGGAAGGCGGGCTCTCTCTTCTTTAATCTGTTGTCCCCTGAAAAGGGAACTTTCCCGAGAGGGCGGAGGAGGCCGCGAAGGCCCGGTTTCCCCTCTCTGATCTGTTGCAATCAGGGCACTGTCACCAGTTAGCGGCGGTTTACCCCCAGACAGAGTCTGACGCAGTTTTGCTAAAGGAAACCACGCAAGTCTCCCAGCTTGGCGCGACCCTTCCTTCCGGCGGCCGCGGCGGGG